AACATTAGTTCAAAGCACCATTGGCCAGCACGAGCCTCAGCAGTAATGACTCAGAGACTACAAGGACTAGACTGAGCCTGCTCCCACTGCGCTGAAATGGGTCATAGGAGGAATTCCAAGACAGATGTTTTTAGATGGGATCCGGTTGGTTCCCACTCATAGCAAGCCTATGAACGGATGAATGAAGATCCTCTGGTGCTGAGCCATCCTCGCAACTGTTCTTATTTGTTTGAGCCCATTGTTGCAACCACTATGTCATTTCATCTAATGGAAGATCGTCCTTGTTCCTTTTTTTTTTTTGGCTTCCCCTCTCCTTTACCAAGCATAACATCTTTTCCAGGGATCTGCCTTTCCTGTAACATGCCAAAAGTACATGAGATGAAGTACTGCCTCCCTTACTTCGAAGGAGCATGTGGCTGTGCTTATTTGTTCTTTTGGCGGTCCCTAGTAATTCCAATATTTTTCACTAGCGCTATAATTCAGAAGCATTGATTTTTCTTCTGTCTTCTTTATTCAATGTCCAACTTTCATATGCAGAAGAAGCAATTGAAAATATCATGGCTTGAGGCAGGCACACCTTAGTCCTCAATGATAATAGATCAAAAGTACATGAGATAACGACTTGCCACCCTTAATTCTAAGAAGCATCTGAATTGTAAGGGTCCCTTCTTTGGGCAGCCATGGGAATGTCAATATTCTTTACCAGCACGATAATTTAAATGCATTGGTACTTCTTTATTCACTGTACAAACATATTCATTTTTCTGTTTTCCTGTCTTATTCTTAGTAAGCTTCCTGGGCCCTAATATTTAGAAATAAATTAAGAGAGTTTTATATTACATGACAAAAGCCCAATGAATTCTCAATGTCTCAAGGTTCAGCACTTTGTTGAGTGCCATACAACCTCTACATGGCATAGTCTATGGGTGAGAGTTATTCTAAATACAAACAACCCTTAATTCTGTATCATAAATAAATCTGGAATAAAACCAAAAGCATAGAAAGAGTTGTCTCTTCAAAAATGGTCCATCTGCTCAGCAAGAAGCATTCTCTATTTGGCAAGAAGGACGAGGTTCCCATAAGCTTGGCAAACTCTCCCAATGTTAAGGATCCCTTTTCTGAATCTGTCTCCAAGGTCGAGGCCACCATTTCCTGTACCTCGTGTGACTGAAGCTCAGTCACCATGATGCTACCGTCAAAGCCCTTGGGGGGTAATTTCAGGGCATCCAGCAGCTTACAGGGACTCACTAAATCTTCGGGTGAGAGCAACTCCATCCCTCGAGCATGGTTTACTAAGCAGTGCACCTGTCAGTACCATTATGCCCCCTTATTCCTCGAAAGGCACCTTCAATGTTCTAGCCAGCTGTTTGGACAGCTGCATGTGGTACAATGTGCCTGAGCTGTAGGTTTCTATGGTAACTGGGTTAGTTAGTCCCACACTCAGCAAGTAGGATTTCAACCCCATGGTCTCCTCTTCTGTGATGATCCCTTGTTTGTCTTTCATTTTATTAGCAATTGATTTTGATAACGCTACCATTTCCTTATCTTTAATCATGAGCTTGATGAGGTCTTCAAAGGCTTTGATATGTTTTTTGTCCGTTTCTTTTATTTTTTTTCTGCCGGTTTCCTTTCAATGCCTACAATTGCCCTTATTTTTCCTGGCTGAGATCTTTTATTTGCTTGTCATGACTGGGAAACCATCATATTCTCCCATCTTCTGGATCATTCCCTTTGATAAGCACCTGTAAAACTCAATCTGGCCAGGTTCTTGGAAGGAGAATGTGATGAAGGAACTCTTGCTGTGCTGGAACGGGCCGGGTGCTTTGTTAGGCGAGCTGGGTGCAGATGAACCACTATTTTGGTACTTTCTTCAATTCCAGCTGCCTGTTCTTCAAGGAATACAATTCGAGAAAGAGGACTGGCCATGCAGCATGCATCGTTTTTCTGAATCTCCAAATCAATCAGTGTATACTAAGAAGGAGGGTTTCAGTGTCAAATTTTACTTTTTCTCTCCATGTTGATGTGCTCCCTGCCCTGCTGGGTTAGCAGGGTCTCTCTGATCTCCAGGAGGCCGCGGGTCCACAAGAATGGCCCATGGCCGCCACCACACTCTAGTGCAGGCACTCCTGGGCCACAAGCCCTGCGGCGCACCTAGTGTTCTTTGTGAATAAATGCACAGTTTAAAAAGTTAAGGAAAAATGACGTGGCAAATTGTTTTTCAGCTATTCTCATTTAAAAATTACTTTGGATATACTTGAAAAAGAATAACTTAAGAGAGTAAGAATATATAACCATGCAATTAAGTCGCTAAACATATAAACAAATATATATAAGCACTGATGGTTAAAAAACACAGCTATCTAACTCAAATGTTTAAAAATCATTTTCCTAAAAACAACCTTGAAAGAAACTATACTCTGAAATCACCTTTTAGCTAAATAGCAGGTTATTTCTGAAGCTAAAAACAACGCTTTGTTGACACTGTGCTCTTTCAAATAGAGCCACATGAGACACTGGCGCTTGAGACGTTAGGGCCCAGTGAGATGAAGCGAATGGGACTGGAAGAACTAGAGTCGAAAGGCTGAGAACGGTGACACACCCGGAAGAACGTAACCAGTGCCACGGAACAGTATTGTGGAGATTGTTGAAAGGGGACCTGCTCGTCTTTGAGGACTTCCAGCAAAGTACAATACAATTACAAAGAATTAAGACAGAATTACGACATCAGTCAAAGATAATTTTGAAAACTGTGGGAGGAGATTGCACTAAAATATTTAATGTCTGTGTGTTTTTCAGGAAGAGATTAAAGGTACTTTTTAATTTTGGCCTTTTTACATCATGTGGTAGACAGTACAGTGCTGTCTTCCCAGTGGTATATATGTGTAAACACCCATATCTGTGAATATATTATCTTCCATAACAGAAGAAACTATGCAGATATGATTCAGGGGAAGATTTTGAGATAAAGACATAATTCTAAATTACTGGGATCAGCTCAGTCTAACCACATGAGTCCATATAAGGGAAAGACAAAGCCAGAAGAGGCCGTGTTGGAGAAAGAAAGGTAATCATGGAAGCCGAGTTCAGAATGCTGCGATGGCTGGCTCTGAAGAGGGAGGGGGGCCCATGGGAAGAAACGAGGGCAGCCTGTCGAGCTAACACAGGACAGGGAACAGACTGTCCCCTGCAGCCTCCAGAGGAACATAATCCTGCTCACTTCTTGATTAAACCCAGGGAAACCCATTACCAATGATGAATCTCCAGACTGAAAGATAATCAACTTGAGTTGCTTTAGATACACAAATGTGTTACAGAAACAATAGAAAACTAATAGCGTGTGCTTCAGAATTCAAAAGGAACCACAAATTACAGTATTTGATACACCTTTCTAAACCAGTAACAGAAAATAAGGGAAGTGAATAGGGAAACTAAGAAAAACAGAGTGGACTTCTGGATTTTCAATCGAAAGGTCATATAGGATGATAGAAAAATCTAAATGTACCTATATTGAAATATAAAATGTAAAGAGACTCACTAAATAAATGATTATCTATTGAAATAAAGATATTATATAACAAAGCAGAGAATACCAGAAAGCTACTACCTGTGTTTTATTGACTAAACAAAGGCATTTGACTGTGTGGGCCATAAAAAATGATGGATGACCTTGAAAAGAATAGGAATTCTAGAACACTTTATTATGCCCAAGAGGAACTTGTCCATGGATCAAGAGGCAATTGTGAGAAAAGAACAGGGAATACTGCATGGTTTAAAATCAAGAAAAATGGGTGTCAGGGTCTTATCCTTTTACCACACTTGTTCAATCCACATGCTGAGCAAATCATCAGAGAAGCTGGCTTAGAAGACGAAGAGGGTGGCCTTGGCATTGGAGGAAGGCTTATTAGCAACCTATGATATGCACTTGACACAATCCTGTTTGCTGGAAGAAAGGAGGACTTGAAGCCCTTTCTAATGAAGATCAATGACTGCAGCCTTCATCGTGGACTACAACACAGTGCACAGAAAACCAAACTCCTCACAACTGGACCAATAGGTAGCATCATGATCCATGGAGAAAAGGTTGCAGTTGTCAAGGATTTTGTCTTGTCTGGATCCACAATCATGCTCATGGAAGCAGTAGTCAGGAAATAAAATGACATGTTGCATTAGGTAAATGTGCAGCACAAGATATTTTCAGAATATTGAAAAACAAGGATGTTGCTTTGAGAATTAAGTACACCTGACCCAAGCCATGTTTTTTTTTAATTGCCTCATCTGCATGTTGGACGCTGAATGAGGAAGACAGGGTAAAAGTGATGCATTTGAATTGCAGTGCTGGGGAAGAATACTGAAAGGACCTTGGCCTGCTGAAGAGACAACCCGTGTGTCATGGAAGACGTATAGCCAGGGTGTTCCTTGGCGTCAAGGATGGCAAGAGTTGGTCTTACGTACTTGGGACATCTTGTCAGGAGGGACCGGTCCCTGGAGAAGGACAGCATGCTTGGTAAAGTCGAGGTTCAGTGAAGGAGACAAAGATCCTCAAGGAGCTGGACTGACACTGTGGGTGCAACAACGAGCTCAGTCGTAGAACCATGGGAAGGAGGATGGTGCAGGGCCCTGTCCTGTTTTGTTTTGCGGTGCATCAGGTCGCTGTGAGTCAGACATGACTTCATGGTACCTAACCACAACGTTTTGGAGTAACAAACAGACAAAAAATAAAGCCTGTAAAATTTAAAGGAATATGAAATTTTATTTATGAAATATTATTTCTAAAATAGGATAATTTTGTCCCATGATTATATCAAGTACAAATGTGACACAATTTTAAATAGCTCACATTTTCTTAAATGCAGAAACAACTTATGCTGAAGCTCGGTTTTATTAAATTTTTGTATATAAAGCCTGTCATGTAATTAGTCATGTAACTATTAATTGAGTTGCATAATCTCTATTATTTGGAAAAGGACTTACCTTTACTTTGATGTTCTGTTTCTTTCTAGGAAAGATTTCTGTGTGCACAAAGACGAACCGTGTGATACAGTTGGTAAGTGCATCCAAAACCATCACAGTTTGAGGGAGTTGTGGGAAACTTGTCAAAACCTCATTTCAAATAAGATTATTGGAGATTTGTTGTTTCTATGTTATTTTTAGAATAGCATATATACCCCTCAGATTAGATATTTACCATAGATTAGTGACCTACTTTTTTTAAAAGCTGCAACTGAAAATCCTGTGGACCTCGTTTCTACTCCACTCCCCACGAGTTGGAATAGATTCTATGGAAATTGGGAAAACAGAAGATGGAGTAGCCTTTTCTACCTGGAAAAAATGCAAAAGTAATATTAAGAGGAAAAGAAAGAAAAATATATTGATTAAAAATTTAATGGTTTGAATAATTCTTTTTTCCCCTGTGACATCATTAGTACTGGCCTTGTCTCTAATTCCCTCAGTTTGTTATTGTTGCTGTTTTTAAAATTTTTCTCAATCTGGATGCCTTTTCTTCTACCAACCTTTATATATTGCTATTCTTCACAATTCCATACTTATATCTTTTCTATATGCTGCAAATATCATCCATCATCATAGATTTAAATCTAGAATCCCTAGACCTTTTATTATCCCCAAACTTGTTTGCCATTTTATCAAGCACCTTAAATTATTTTTATCTATATACCACTCCACTTTGTTTCTTTTAACTTACTACTTTTTAAATTTAACTTCAGATCCAAAATCTTTGAATTAATTCTTTTATGCTTCCCTTCCTGTTTCCAATATTCAGTTCTAAACGGCTGCCCAAGTGTAGGAATGCAATGTGAACATGTTCATCAGTTATTCATTAGCTCTCTCAGAGAGAGAGAGACAAGCTGGGGTGTTGTTAGGGCATCAGCCTATTCTGCCAAAGAAATGTGTTGAAAGCATGATTAATTATATTTTAAACTATTTCTAGCTATTAGTCCATAAATTAGTCTATATAGCCTCCTAATAATCAAGGTCTTAAAATCTTCTCTAAAAAATAACCAGGCCTCACAATTTTATATATATAACTAAACCTGCAAAGCAAGATTGTTTTAACATTATACGAACTATTTAAGAAAATAGAATAAGGGGGGATTTAGAATATATGTACATTTATTACCAAATCCTAAAGAAAATTATGTAAGAAGGAAAAATTATACTCACTTTCACTCAAAGAAAACCAACCCTGAACCAAATGTCACAGGTATTATCTTACAATGCTTTGAAAACTAACTAACTCGTGTTAGTTCATTCCAGATGTTCCAGAAATGCAATGAGAGTTTAATTTAGACACTCTTAAATGTAACCACATAATCCAGTTAGAGAGGAAAAACCTATGCAATCATCCCAGTAGATGAAGAAAAATCATTTCATGAAATTCACACCCATTCAAAAGAGCTCTCAGAAAAATAGAAAAAAACAAATCAAAAACCAAGGACTGATGAACCCCATACATAGTATTTCCAGATGTCCCTAAGCTGTTGCTTTATGTAGTGAAGCTTTGAAAGCCTTCCCTTTAAAATCACACACAAAGATATGCTGGCATTACTCTTTCCATTCAAGGATGTATCAGCAATTCCAGGCCTTCCAACAACATGAGTAATATGATGTTCGATATTAAAAATACTTTGCTGTTGCTGTTTGGTGCTGTGGAGTTTCAACTCATGATAACCTCATGTGACCGTGAAGGCAGGCAACTTTTATGGAAGTGGATTGCTAGGAGTTCTCTCTTAAGTCTTGCTAGGGGTGTTCTCTTAAGTCTTTGATGTTAGATGCCATTGAATCGATTCCGACCCGTAGCGACCCTATGCACAAAAGAAGGAAACAGTATCTGTTACTGCACCTGCCTCTTGATTTTTGCTATGTTTGGGCCCATTGTTGCAGCCAGTATATCAATCCATCGCCTGGAGGGCTTTCTTTCATGGAACAATATTTACATTTTAACACTTTAAAAAGAGATATCCCACAGCAGATTTACACAATGCACTACTTTGATTTACTGACAGCTGCTTCAATGGATGCTGATTATGGAGTCAAATAAAATGAAATATTTTGCCATTTCAATATTTTCTTCTTTTAATATGATATCCTGAGAATTTTTATTTTTGTCAAGCTGAGGTAGAACCCATACTGAAGCTTTAGTCTTGGATCTTCATCACCATGATGAATGCAATAAAAATGAAATAATAAGCATCTGTAAGGGAGAGAATCATCTTATTTTATGAGCTCTAATAAGCTATCACTTATCACCAATTTAAAAAAATACAATTATTACATAAATATCCAAAAGAAAACCAGTTTGATTAATTCTAGGTGCTAGCCTTTTTTGACTATACAGCACATCACAGTGTGAAATGATTTGAATCTTGGACATACGTATTTGTAAAACCAATAGCCAATAAGTGCTCCATGGGGGCATAGTGGTTCTGTGTCGGACTGCTAATCACAGGGCCAGCAATTCAGTTCTACCAGCTTCTCCAGGAGTCTGTCTACTGCCATAAAGATGACAGACCTACAGGAACAGTTAGCTTCTCTCCTGTAGTTCGCTGTAAGTTGAAATCAACTTGATAGCAGAGAGTATAACCAATGAAGAACCTGGTTGTGTAGTGAGTTGATGCTTTGAACTGCTAGCCACAAGTTCAACAGTTACCAGATGTTACCAGCTGCTCAGTGGGAGAAAGTTTTTCATTTGTTTGTTGTACAGCCAATAAAGTAGAAGGATGCAAATTAACGAGATAACTCATCCAAATGAGTGATAAAGAAACCAACAACAAGTAGGGATACTAAATAGAGCTAACGACACTAGCAGTTATTTCATTTTATTTTTATGGGACTAAACCAAGGTGAATTTAAAAAGGAAATATACTTAGTCTCATTAGTAATAAGGGAAATGCACATTCTATTCACAAAGAGATATATGTAGTCATACTGATAAAACTGAGAAATCAGGCATTACCAAGTGATGGGAATAATGTCATAATGATCGCATCATATCTATTTGTTTGTTCTATTTATTTTTAATTTTAGGGAGCATTGCGTAGCTCCACTATGCCTCTGGACTACAGTGACGTACGTGTTGCTGTAATCTTGGAAGCAGTGCTAATGGCATTTCAAAGCCGAACATTTCAGTTATACCATTGATTCAGCATCAATGGGAACAGGTATACACTTCACATATAAGTTGATGTATTCACATTGGAAGAGTACTGACCATATAATCTAAAATTGAGTTTGTGCATATCCTGTAACCATCATAACATTCTTAAGTACACATGAAAAAATGTCTAGGAGGTTTCTATGTGAACAGCAACAACAAAAAAGGAAATGAATGTTAATAGTCTTTATCAAGAATAAATTAATTAATATTTGAAAAATGATGAAATCACTGTACGTACGAAGTTCTGTCTTTTTGTGTGTGTCTGTATGTGTTTGATGGCGTAATGGTTAAGCACTTGTTTGTTCACTAAAAGATGGAAGATTTAAACCCACCAGTTTCTCTCAGGAAGAAAGAGTGGCAATCCATTCTGATAAAGGTTACAATCTAGCAGGCCTTGATGGATAGTTTTATTCTGCCCTGTAGGATAGCTATGAGGAAGAATTGACTAGGTAGAAAGGGGTTTTAAATATAATTTTGTACATATTTCACCTTCACTTAGGTATACAACCATATTTAGTCAACATTCCAATAGTGAGAATTGGTGTTATAGTCATAATGATCGCATCATATCTATTTGTTTGTTCTATTTATTTTTAATTTTAGGGAGCATTGCGTAGCTCCACTATGCCTCTGGACTACAGTGACGTACGTGTTGCTGTAATCTTGGAAGCAGTGCTAATGGCATTTCAAATCCTATTAGTGTCATCCACGGTGAACGGCTCAGTCTAAACCACTACTGACGCCGGGTTGGCCCCAACTCAGAGCAGCCCTATATATTGTTTCAAGACTGTAAAGCTTTACCGGAGCAGATAACCTTATCTGTCTCCAACAGAGTGCCTGTGGTTTTGAACCACCAACGTTGTGGTTAGCAGTTCAACACTTACCCGGTAGCACCACCAGATCTGGCAACCTACTTCTGAAACTTTTAGCCAATGAAAATTGAATGCGTAATAGTTGAACATTATCTAACAGTACCAAGAGACAAGCCCTGCAGATGGGAAGATACTGAAAATATTTACACAGTGGCTCAAATACAGCAATCATTGTGAGGGCAGCACGGAGTCATTTCTGTTCTACGCAGGGTCAGGTGAGTTAAAGCTGACTTGATGGCATTAACATCAGCAAAGACCTTTGGTTGTATATTGTAAGAGCTAGTCTTTTGGTCTCAGTACTTCTTTCCACTCTTAAGAACTATTGAAGACGTCCAACAGCTTTACTTTGTAAGTAATTTATATAATTTGTTCCCATATTAGAAATGAGATGAAAACACTGTAAGTCATTTCAATTGACAATAATAAACACCACACTGCCAATAAGATGCATGATCTCGGTGACCCTCCATAAAGTGAGTGCTCTGAACCTCCTTGCTTCTATTGCTTCATGTTAGAAGCTTCAATAATGTCTACCAGTCTCTTTCTGTCTCACTCATTAGGTTAGAGTGAATCACTTTATTCTTAAGTATGCTTCTGAGTATTCGGATTTAAGTACTTGGATTTTTTTCAAATAGGCCTACAGACCACCCTGGAAACAACTGCCATAAAAGAGCATAACCCAGAGCATGAGATGTATTTAACCAGCACTTTTATGTTGACCCTGTATAAGTGAGCATCTCCAGACACTTCCTTTCCCAAACACCAGTCTACACTCCAATTTAAGTTTCAGCACAAGTAATAATTTTTATTGGGTGAGAAGAAAAGGTCAACCCAATATTTTTAGTAGCTAAATGTTCATTCAATAGCACTTGTGACATTGTCTCGTGCATTGAACTATGAAGACTGAGAATAATTCAAGGAATTACTGGGATGATCGCTTTTAAATATTTTTATGTAAATATATTATTACTACGAAAACAATATTCATGTAGTATTCAATATTTTGACATCTACAATCTTTTGAAATAAAATAAGAGTGACATTTATTATTTTCTACATGAATTTCACTTCTTAAATTAATTGGTAGTGTTATTAAGTTGTTGTTGTTAAGTATCTTTGAATTGATTTCAACTCATCATGTCCCTGTGTGACACAGTAGAAGTACCATATAAGATAATTTTAGAGTTTCTTAATGGGGCAGATCACCAAGTTTCTATTTTCAGTGGAATCTCTTGGTGGGTTAAATACTAATCTTTCTATGAGTGACTGACTGGTTAACTGTCCTTCCCTATCAAAAATTTGAACCACTATCAAGTCAGCAAAAATCTGGATGATGAAGGAAGCATCAAACGAAGATGGAAAATATACAGTCACTGTACTAAAAAACAATTAGTCACTGTTCAATCATTTTAAGAGGAAACATTAACAATTAACGGCATTGGAGGGAGAAGTCCACGTTGCATGGAGGCACCTGACAAAAGCAAAGCTCCAGGAATTGAAAAAATACCAAATTATAAAGAATATCATATGTAGTAAACTTTTGCTGACGATTATTCAGCAACAGTTGGAGCTCCTAGAAATTCAACTTGGACTCAGAAGGGTAAATGAGGGCAATCCTTGCTCATGTCAGATATCTTGGTTGAAAACACAGAATACCGGAAAGTTGCTGACTGGCATTTTATTGACTTTGCAAAGGCAATTGACCTTATGGACCTTAACAAACTATGGAAAGCCTTGAGAAAAATAGGAATTCCAGAACACTTCATTGTGTTCATGTGCGACTTGTACATGCCTGAAGAGGCAGTCATGTAAACAGGACAAGGGCATAGGGCAGGGTTTAAAATCAGGAAAGGTGTACATCAGGGTTGTAACCTCTCAACAATTATTTAATCTGTATGGTGAAGAAATCATCAGAAGACTGGATTATATAAAGAATATTGTGGGATCAGGATTAAAGGAAGGCTTTTTATCTGCTCACTGTGAAGATGGCACAACCTAGCTTGTGAAAGTGTAAAGGACGCCAAACATTTGCTGATGAAGGCCAAGATATGGATTGCCACTCATGCAAAGTAGACCGAAATCCTCGTAACAGACCAATAGGTAACATCACGAGACATGTGATAAAGACTGAAGTAGTCTAGGATTGTGTTTTGCTTGGATTCACGAGCAAAAAGCATGGTAGCAGCAGTCTGTAGATCAAACAAGTCATTGTATTGGCTAAATCGGTACACTACCTCTTTAAAGCATTGAAAAGCAAGAATGTTACTTGGAGGATTAAGGAGTGCCTGGTGCAAGCCATGGTATTTATAATTGCCTCCTAGCCTCATAGGCATGTGGATGTTGGACACTGAATAAGGAAGAGAGAAGAATATTGAAGGACCATCAGTGGCCAAAAACCCAAGCAAATCTGTTTTGAAAGAAGTACATGCAGAAGGAGCCTTAGAAATGAGGATGGCAGAACTTCATCTTATGTACTTCAACTGGGTTTCAGGAGAGACTAATCCCTGAGGAGGACGTTGTGCTCAGTAAAGTATAGGGCAGCGAAAAAGAGGAAGATCCGAGAGAAAATGGGCGGACGTAGTGGCTGCAATGGTGGACGTGAACATAACAACAGCTGGGAGGAGGGTGCCGGACCGCGTAGCCTTTTCTTCTGTTGTGCCTCGTGCTACTGTGGGTCGGAACCGACACAAAGGTACCAACAAGAGGAATCACTTCGATTCTGATTTAGAGAGCCAAGTGGAGCGGTTCTATAGATTTTCTTGGCTATAATTCTTTATGGAAACACTGCATTTTCTTCTCTAAAGGAGTAGTTCGTCAATTTTAACCTTCTAACCTTTTTGATAGTAGCTCAATGCTTATCCATAAGGGCCCCTAACATTCATGACTAAACCAAACCAAGCTCACTGCCGTTGAGGTGAGTCCAATTCATTACTGCCCTGTAGGACAGGGAAGAATTTCATCTTGAATTTAGGAGACTGCATGTTTTTAGTATGTGAGCAGACCGATTCATCTTTTTCTTGATTATTGGCTCTACTCACTCATTCCCATGGAGTCAATTCTGACTCATAGACCATATAGGACAAAGTAGTCTTACTACTGTGGGTTTCTGAAACGAGTTCTTTATGGGAGTAGAGAGCCCTCTCTTTTTCCTGTGGGACAGCAGTAGGTTTGAAAAGCTGACTTTGTGGTTCAACACACTAAGCCATTAGGGCTCCTTTTGATGATCACTTCAAGAGTCCCTTAAGTGTGCAAGAGAGTTCAAGTGGAAGGCAACTGGCACAAAAGCTCATCACAAACAATATGATATATTTAAGGATGACTGCTGAAATTCTTGCCCACTTAACATTAATAAAATTTAAATTTTAGTATATCTTCAAACAAATGAGAAACATACATTAACCTTAAGGATATAAAATTTTATCTTAAAAAGATTATCATTTTGGAGATGCCTAGAGGTCATTATAATTGTGAGTAAGATGTATTCTATGCTGCTTAATGTGAAAGTCTGTAGAAACAGCAATAGAAGATTACATGATCTGAGACCAGAAGCCTGCCTTCCTCTTGGTGTTTGTCCTTATAGTAGTGGAGTTACACAATATTGTGATTGAGTAACTTCACTCACCACAGTTATTTCCAAGCCCATGCACTGTTCTATGGTTTTATAACTGTTTTTCAGGGATGTATTCTGTTGTGAGTCTGTACCAGAGTTTCTTTAACCATTCTTCTACTGATAGGCATTTAGGATGTTTCTAGCTTCTTGTTATTAGCAAATGTGTGGGAGTGAGTGTGGGAAGGTATATGCTTTCTCATGTTCTCTTTCATATATTTGGTGTATAAGCCATAGTGTGAGATGAAGCAGATGGCCGCTGTGCCAAGGATATGGAATTGGAGGTTGTTGTACATTGATTCGGATCTCTTGCTTTGAGGGTGTCCAATGAACGGTACAAAGACCAAGAAGTAGAAAACAAAAAAATGGAAGAATATGCTTAGCATATATTAAACTGGAAGAATTCAAGAAAAAGTCAAGCCTGGAGTTACAATATTGAAAGGTTCTATGAACAAAATATTGAATGATGCAGGAAGTATCAAAAGAAGATGGAAAGAATACACAAACTCACAGTACCAAAAAGAACTGTGCAACATTCTAACATTTCAGAAAGTAGCATTTGAGCAAGAACCAATGGTTCTGAATGGAGAAGTTCATGCTAAACTGAAAGAGCAAAAATCAAAGCTCCAGGAATCAATAGGATATTAATTGAAATATTTCAAAAACGTATTGAAGCACTGGCAGTAGTCCCTTGTCTGTGCCAGGTAATTTGGAAGACAGCTATTTGGCCAACTGGATTGAAGAGATCCATAATTGTACCCATTTCAAAAAATGATTCACCACATGCACAAATTAGAGAGCAATGTAATTAATATCACATGCAAGTAAAATTTTGTTGAAGAGTGGCCAACAGTGGTTGCAGAAAGATGTTGACAAGGAGCTGCCAGTGGTTAAGGCACGATTCAGGAAGCAGAACTAGGGATATCAGATGCTGACGTCAGATGGATCTTGGCTAAAAGCAGGAAATACCAGAAACATGTTTACTTGTGTTTTACGGACTACACAAAGGCATTACAGTGTATGGACCATAATAAACTGTGCACAACCTTGAGAAGAATGGGAATTCCAGAATACTTCATTGTGCTTATGAGAACTTGTACTTGAATCAAGGGTCAGATGTGGAAACAGCACAAATGAATACTGCATGGTATAAAATCAGGACAGGTGTGCGTCAGAGTTGTAGTCTCTCGCCCTACTTGTTCATTCTGTATAGTGAGCAAATCATCAGATAAGGTGGATTATATGTAGAAGAATATGGCATCAGGATTGGAGAAAAGCTTATTAACAACCTGTGATATGCAGATGACATAAGCTTGCTTGCTGAAAGTGAAGAGCACTTTCTTATGAAGATCAAGGCTTGCAGCCTTCAGTATAGATTATGACTCCACGTAAGGTAGATGCACATCCTCACAACCTGACCAAGAGGTAATATAACGATCAAAGGAGAGAAGATTGAAGCTGTGAAGAATTTTATCTTGTTTCAATCCACAATCAATGCACATGGAAGCAGCAGTCAAGAGATCACATGGTGTGTTACATTGAGTAAATTTGCTGAGCAAGATCTTTTCAGAATATTGAAAAGCAGCGATGTTACTTTGAGGACTAAGGTGTGCCTGACCCAAACCATGGTACTTTCAATTGCCTCATATATATGTGAAATTTTGACATTAAATAAGGAAGACCGAAGAAAAGTCACTGCATTTAAATGTTCATCATGTCAAAGAAGACTGAACTTACTGTGGACAGTCAAAAGATAAAACAGTTCTATCTTGGACGAAGTACGCCAGAGTGCTCGTTATTGGCAAGGGTGGCAAGATTTCATCCTACATACTTTGGATGTGATGTTAGGAGAGACCATTTTCTGGCGAAGGACATAATGATTGGTAAACTAAAGGGGCATGAAAGAGAACAAGGCTCTCATAAAGGTGGATTGACACATCGGCTGCAACAGTGAGATCAGGCATCGGATCAATTGTGAGGATGGCACAGGACCGGGAAGTGTTTTGTTCTGTGGGGCTCGGGCCACCGTGGACTGAAATCAACACCACGCCACCAAACAGCAACATGCACATATGAATTTGGCACTGACAATGAACATCGAAAGGACCGTGGACTAGCAACAGAGTAAAAAAAATCTGTCTTGGAAGAAGTACAGTCCGAGTGCTTCTCAGAGGCAAGGATGGTGAGATTTTGTTACACAGCAATGGAAAACTAATGAATGTAGACAAAAGAATATATAGTGTTTCATACTGATTGAAGGTTTGCTGAAGGAAAATGAAGTTGCTTTCACAGACAGTATCCCCATGGCCCCCCGTGATGCAGGGTAAGAAGGAATAACTTCACGGAGTAGAAAGGGAGGGGTGGAATACGTGAATAAGTGGAATAGCAGCAGCTTGAAATAGAGGTAGATGCACTAAGTCACTGGTCCTGGAGCAAGGACGATCAGGAAAAAATCATGGGAATCAGATATTCTGGAGATTCGACATTTTCTACTGTTTGCAATAAAAAGATCTATGAAGTTCACCTACTGACATGATGATTATAATTATAAAATGTATTCATATCAAAAGTCTTTTTAAAAATAGTTTTCTGACATATAATTCATATATCATGCACCTCAATAGTTAGCTCATCAAGCATTTTTAAAGGAAGCATGAATAATAATTACTACTGGGCAAACTGGGATGTCCAAAGCAAACTAGCCTTCTTGCCATCCGACTATGTTCTTAGGATGATGCGTTGACATATTGGTCAGAGTTTTAAGTTGTGTATTTAAAAAGTACTTGTTTCAGAAATATTTAGCCATCACAGTTATTTCTGTAATTTAGGTATGCTTTCGTTCTTCAATAATGCTAGTTAGATTTCTAGGAATTAGCACATTAATACTTGCTGCATGTATCGGAAATTTGTGTCACACTGTTTCCCATCCCCCCTTTTTCTCAGTGCAGATGTCCACAGATTGGTGCCTCTAACTACCTAACCCTATACGCCTGAATTTTTAATTTCAGGAAAAAAGTTATTTTTGTTTTTATTCTTTACTTTCATAGTTATCACTCTGTATTATAAACATATATAATAAATGTTACAAAAACGTCGCCCTTGGCGTTGTAGGGCTGACTGAGTTTCAGGCATCTCATATATAAAAAGGGAGATGGTAGCACATGCACAAAAATCCCTATCTAAAAAGCCTGGCACCATACTCGAGAGATAAGATGAGCAATGCCTATGTCATTTCCTTCTTCATTTTTTAAAAATTGGAATATTAAGAATGAAGAGGAAAAAAGCAACAGAAATGGTAAATGGTTTTGTAAACACAATAGTCTATTTTTCTGTTCTTAAATGTTTAAAATACATTCACTGGTCCTGTGGCGTTCTCACAGTCGGTAATGTTTGCCTCTACTTCTGCAGCCCCTGAGCTGACCCATCTCAGTGATGGTCTTCCTCATACTTTTACCCTTTACTTCACCAAGCTTGATGTCCTTCTGTAGGAACTGGTCTCTCTTTTCTTTTCTTTTTTCCTTCTCAGCCCTATCATTAGCCCCGCCCTGGCTCTTAGTTGCTCCCTGGTCTCTTTTGATAACACAACCAGAGCATAAGCAGTGATGTCTCACCGTGCAGGCTTCTACAAAGCATTCTGACTTTACTTCTTTCAAGAGAGACTGCAAAGTCTACATTAATAAACCGGGAGAAAATATCTGTAGATCAAATACCCAGAAAGAAGTTCTTATATTCAAGATACAAATATATACATGAAGAACTCTAAAATTTTAGCCTGGAGAAAACAAACAACTCAATCTTATACTGTACCAAAGACTGGAAGAACCACTCAGGTAAAAAGACAACAAACTTGTTTGACAACTGACTTTTGTAACAATTGTATAGTATTGCTGGGCGTGATTGAACTATGGAGTGATATACCATACTAATTAACTCCCAATTAAAAAAAAATAAAGATGACAAACACGAAAATATGTTCAGCATCCTTTGTCATTCCTAAAGCAAACAAAGCCCTTGCCCTAGAGGCCAGGGTAGAATTGGTGCAGAGGACTTCCAAGCTTATGATGCTTTACGGGAACAAGCTACCTTCTCTTTCACCCATCGAACTCTCAGTTAGTAGCCCAGTACTAGACGCAACACGGGACAAAAGCATTTGTTAGTAGAAGCATGCAAATTAAAACCATAATTTATTATCCTGAATAAAATGTGCAAGACGGACAATACTAAGCATTGAGGAGGATGGAGAGTAAATGCTGCTTTCACATATTTTTGTTGAGCATGCAGCATTTCAAAAGGCAACTATACAATTACCGTATATCCAATCAATCTCATTGTTAACATAAATATTTAAATCCCCCCAAGCCTAGTCATGATTACTTTGAACAGCTCAATTCTTAATTGCCACAAAGTCAAAAGAGTCTAAATACACTTCATTAGATGGATACAGTACCTTAAAGATGCACAGTACATTCACATAATGAGATATTAGCAAAGGTGGTAAAATTTCGAGTCCCCGGAGAAGGACATGTCCCTGGGGAAGTGGATGACCAAGAATAAGGCCAATGAGGTGGGGTAACACAAGGCCTGCACCAACGGGTTCAGCCACACCAAGGACGGTGAGAATGGAGCATGCGCAGACTGTGCTTTGTTGTGTATTTACATCGGTCTGGGCTGAGTCGGAGCCAAATGGATGACACCAAATATAACAGCAATCAGCACTGATCTGGCACGCACGGAGTGGGTGCATATCAGTTATGAGTTTCTCATAGCTTTCATCCAACTCTCTTCCATTAGACTTTACTTTCTTTGTGGTCAGGGGTCTTGACTCAATGCATGCCTGCGTCCTCAGAACATAGCACTGCGTCTTGATAACTCCACGTGCTCAGCCTATGGACAAGGGGGCTTCAAAAAATGTTATGGAAAATTATCACCTTTTAACTCCATTTTCTCACAAACTTTTTGAAGACCCCTCATGTTTCTCAATATAACTTACTGATAAGGAAATAACATCTTTTCCATGGTTAATAATAAAAGCAAGGCTGAATTTATTATCTTTTTTATTTCTTGGCTGCTGCTCTTATTAGGCACTGACCAGAACATAAATCAGACACTTTATATTTCTATTTTGGCAAGACATTTGCAGGAGTATACTTGGCTGTATAATTCTTAAGGAACTAGCATCAGAAGTGGTTGGTAAGCTATTTCTCTTCTCAGGACTCTTTACCATTAAACCTCACTGCCATTGAGTTGATTCCAACTCAGCACCTCTATAGGACCGGGTGAACCTCCCTGTGGTTTTCTGAGCCTGTAACTCTTTATATATATATATATATATATATGCACACACACACACACACAATACATATATATGTATAAAATTATTTCATTCGGGGCTCGTACAATTCTTATCACAATCCATCCATCCATCCATTGTGTCAAGCACATATGTACATTCGCTGCCCTCATCATTCTCAAAACATTTGCCTTCTACTCTAGCCCCTAATATCAGCTGCCCATTTTCTCTCTCCCTCCCCACTCCCCCCTCCCTTATGAACCCTCCATAATTCACAAATCATTATTGTTTTGTCATAAGTTACACTGTCCGATGTCTGCCCCCACCCTCTTCTCTGCTGTCCATCCCCCAGGGAGGAGGCTATACGTAGAATCTTGTCATCGGTTCCCCCTTTCTACCCCACATTCCCTCCTCCCTCCAGGCCTCGCCCCTCTCACCACTGAGCCTGTAGCTCTTTCTGGAAGTGGAAAGTCTCATCTTTCTCCCACAGAGTGGTTGGTGATTTCAAACTGCTGACCTTGCAGTTAGCTGTCCACATAGTACTTATCATTAAAGAATAATTTAATTACAACATTTTGTTTCTATCAAAACATAGTATAATTCATGCTGATCAACACAATATGGATGTGAAATTATGCTCTGAACCAACTAAATTATTGAAAAATATACGTTACAAATAAAATTCCATTTTTGTTTATTCTTTATCATAATATGTTTTTCTTATTGCTAATTAGTTCCTTGAGAAACAAATCTCAATTTAAAAACTCCTCAAAGTCTTATTTGTATTTCCAAGAGTTTTGAGTATAAGAATCTGAAAGTATCAGATTTGTGTTTAATTACATGTTTAATGTAATGCCAGTGAATTTTTTTTTACAATATTTGTTCAGCATTTTGAAAGTGACATAGATGTGTGGCTACATTACTTCATTGACATTGTTACATCACTTTACAAATAAAATGGTTAATGATTTCATCTTTACTGTTTTTCTGAGAGACTAGGATATGTTTAAATTATGTTATTCAGATTAATTAACATCCCCACCAAACCCAAAACCCACTGCCATAGTCTACCCCGACTCAGACCCTATGCAGAGTTTCTGAGACTATATATCTTTCTGGGAGCAGTCTCATCCTTCTCCAACAGAGTGGCTGGCAGGGTTGAACCATCAACCTTGTAGTTAGCAATCCCACAAGTAGCACCACCAGGGGCTCCATGACAATTCCTAAAGTTAGGCATTACTCCCATTTTACTGTAGGGAAACTGAGGCTTAGAATAGAGCACTAACTTTCAGGTGGTCACAAAGGTGAAATATGAGACTACGATGCACACCCTAAAGTTTATAATATGAGACTACCTAGTCTTAAAACTAGATTTTTGCATTATGCCTTCTTTATATTTAATGGGGAAAAATAGAACACAAAATGGCCATTGAACTTTAACCTTAATTTCAGAAAGTATAAAATTGCCTTTGAGAATATTTTAAAGCAGCCTATTTATTATAAATCACTTCATTTTAAAATCTAGACTGTCGAAACACTTTATAACTTAATACCTAGATTTGAGAACATTACATTAAATATCATTCATATTGCTTCACTTAGTAGAAGCTTTCTACTAAAATAAAAATAAAAATTCACTGATGTAAAGTAACAAACGTAACAAAAAGGAAAAAAAATAAAAAGATGAATAAAATAAAAATTGATGAAATGTAAAAAAATAATTTAAAATATGATGGACAATGTGCCATTCTGTTTTAAAGTGTGGTTTGGTCTATAGGTTTAACTGCATGCTATTAGTTGTTTTACTAGTAGACTAAAAGAGCAATTTATGTAGTTATTTTTTAGTAGCACAATAATTTTAGTTTTAATTGTCCTTGTTTAATGCCTTCAGACATGATTACATTATAACATTATAAAAATGTTAGCCAAAATTCTTGATTTATATGCAAGCAGAACACTTACTCATTTCCAACTGTCTCCTTAAACTTATTTCATAAAGTTTTCTGTGATTCATCTTACCTATTTTCTAAAGT